TTCACATCGGAAGCAAATCGGCCTGTCATCAGGCGTTCTCCACGCATTTGGGTCACGATTACGTGGAGCAGGGCGGCGATACTGCTGTGGGTGGCTCGGGGTAGACGAACTGACAGCGCCGGGACGGTGCACAGAACAGACTGTGTGAACACCCGCGTTGGCTAGTTCCTGGCGAACAACGGTCTGTATTAGCGATATGGTCGGCTGAGGATCACTCGGTGCCAGTGCTCTCAAGGGGGCGGGTGAGATGGCTTCGATTTCACGGCGTACAATTCTCGTGATGTCACTGGAGTGTGAATTGGGCAGGGTCGGTACACAGAGATCCGCACATGTTGACGTCGCAGCAGTGTTGGGAAGGCGCGTAAAGTGGTAAGCAATGCGACGGCTTTTAGCCTCTTGAAACTGTTGGCACTCCAAGATAACATCTTGCACGGTGGAACAGCCTTTGCACACAATGAGGTTAAATGCATCGTCTGCGATGCCCTTGAGCACGTGCGCTACCTTGTCGGCTTCAGCCATGGTTCGGTCAACTTTACGGCAAAGGGTCAGCACATCTTGAATATACGCCAGGTAGGACTCCGTGGACGTCTGAACACGTGTGCCAAGTTCTTTCCTAGCGGCCTGCTTGCAGCCGGCAGATTGACCAAACAACTCGCGTAATTTGGTCTTGCATACGTCCCAGCTTGTGATACCGTCCACATTGTTATTAAACCACGCCTTGGCCGTTCCTTGTAAATAAAAGATGATGTTTGCCAGCATTAAGGTTGGGTCCCACCTGTGATTTGTGCTGAAGAGTTCGTAGAGTTTAAGCCACTCATCCACGTCCTCGCCGTCCGTTCCCGAAAAGTTGCCGGGATCGCGGGGTGGAGCGGCCACGAGATAAACAGGAGAGGTCGGCGCCATTGATGCATTGGGCGTAGCAGTTGAGGAAGCGTCGCTGCCGGTGGACATGTTGGGAGCAGAGACTAGGCGTCCGCTGCGTAACTCCGTCGTGCGTTGTACCCCAGCACCTTCCACCAAAATGTTGCGTGAAGGCACAAGGGAAACTAGGCGTTTTAAAATATATTTACACAGCGCCAACGCGCAAGCCAAGATGGCGAACAAGAGAGAGCGCGCGCACACACAAAATCACCTCGTCTTCCTCAGCGCCTATCTCACTGTTTAAGTGGGGCATTGTCTCGTAACAATATATATATATATATATATATATATATATATATATATATATATATATATATATATATATATATATATATGCGCGTGTGTGTATGTGTGTGTGTGGGTGGGTTTCAATGTAACTAGAAAAGATTGAACGAAAGGAAGCAAGGAAAGAAGGCATGCCTTCCTGAAAATCATGACATAACCGTACGTGAGCGAAATAATTGATTGATTGATTGATATGTGGTGTTTAACGTCCCAAAACCACTATATGATTATGAGAGACGCCGTAGTGGAGGGCTCCGGAAATTTAGACCACCTGGGGTTCTTTAGCGTGCACCCAAATCTGAGCACACGGGTCTACAACATTTCCGCCTCCATCGGAAATGCAGCCGCCGCAGCCGGGATTCGAACCCGCGCCCTGCGGGTCAGCAGCCGAGTACCTTAGCCACTAGACCACCGCGGCGGGGTGAGCGAAATAAGACAGGAAAAGATTTGGCGAGGAAACGGGGAATAGGATTCGCGCCTGTGCGCAGCATAGAATTTTCTGATTATACACTAGAGGGAACTCTGGCGCTATGTCTATGGGAGCTGCAACGCACGACGCTTCATGATGGGTAGTAAACAGATTTGTCTAATTTTCGTACTTCTTGCCTGCTTCTGGCTCCGTGTTTGTTCTTGTGGCTTGGAGCTGTTTTCTCACACAACAAAAATCAGCAAATGTTCAGTGGTTGCGCTTCACCACCTTATTCTTTTGGACTTATTATTTCAATTCGGGTCATGAAGTTCAAAAGGGTGCGTCCTTTCGTTCGAAAGAAAACTGAAACACAGCATTAAACGAAACCACAAGGTGTGATTCGCCACCCGCAAGTACGAAGGCCAGGCAAATCTGTGTACTACCCATCGTTCCTATGGTTGCTTAACGACGGCAGTGCCAGAGTCCCCTCTAGTTAATTTTAGAAACTCTATGGTGCGCGGTACATCACGCGCCGTTTAGTTAAAGATGTTCGCGTAGGTTAGTCGCCTTCAAGAAGCACAGAGGAATCTTCGCTGCTCTGTGAGCCGAAGGGCGATAAGACTATTGCGATGTGCGGGTAGGGGGGAGGGGGTGTCAGAAGTTTGCTGGTCACTATCGCTGATTGATTGATTGATTGATTGATTGATTTGTGGGGTTTAACGTCCCAAAACCACTGTATAGTTATGAGAGACGCCGTAGTGGAAGGCTCCGGAAATTTCGACTAGCTGGGGTTCTTCAACGTGCACCGAAATCTGAGCATACAAGCCTACAACATTTCCTCCTTCTTGGGAAATGCATCCACCGCAGCCGGAATTCGGTCCCGCGACCTGCGGGTCAGCAGTCGCGTACCACAGCCACTAGACCACCGCGGTGGGGCAGGGGGTCACTATTGCGTGTATATCTACAGAAGCGTGGCCTGGGAACTTTGGACCACGGCTTTTCCTAAAGGAACTAAATGCTGGTGGAAAGAAGGCAGTGTGCGATCTGTATCGTGAACATATCTTGCCAGGTATTTTTGTCTGTTTCAGAAACTGGCCTTAACTGAAACATCTAATTTGTCTGCATTGTTTATTTCAAGTGGTCTATATTAGCGCAAAGGTAACCAACGTAAAAAGGTCGTGTTGCTCGCACTTCATGTTCTAGGCAAAATTTGGCACGCTGGGGAGAATTGTCGCCGAACTAGGAACCAACGCTCCCTCAGCCAAAACAATTCTGTTCCGGTCTTCCTTTAAATCTCATGGCAATAAGAAACAAAAAAAAGGTAGAGGAAGGCAAAGAGAAATAAAACCTGAATTTGCTGGCGAAACGTTCTGGATGCTTTCTTTGTGCAATCAAACGCAGCTCTGTTCGACGATGAAAGGCGAGGACGGCGAAGGCGACGCGTTCCCGCGAACGTGACCAGAACTTCTGTGAACGGAAGCCCGTCTTTGTACTCTTACAATCAGTCAATCGGTTTCCGCGGCTGGATCCCGTCGTGCGCTTTGGTGCGTGTGCAGATTGCATAGGGCAGACAGGCCGCGGTATAGGTTTGCCCTTTCGGTGTTTGCTTGCTTCGAAGGATGGCCTTCCGCGAACCACGTTTTCGACGCGTACGTGCGGCCGACCGTATGCTTCGAAACGTGCTGCGAATGATTATGCAAATGGATCGCAACTTCGCGTGATCGTCCAGCGAATGACCTACTCGCCGGGGAGTGGCGGTGCTTCGATCGAAGGTGGATAGCTCTCTAAGCACGCGCTCTGGTCCGTTCCTGCCGTGATCGCTTGAAAGGCGCGCGAGTGGAAAGGAAGACATTTGTGAAAGCCCGGAGACATGTCTGGTCAATGTGAGTTTCAGGTTTAACGGTTGGGAAAGCTTTAGGATCGCACTTAGAGCAATAACGCGAATAAAAGCTATAGTTCAGTGGACTGTGTGACGAAGTTGGTCGAGCAGGAATCCGTCTTTCCTAGAAATCCTTGTGTTTCACGATGAGCCTTTAAACTCGTACACGTTGATTTTATTGATTGCTCTGAGAGATAGAGCGATTCTTTAAAAAAAAAATTAGGCCTAACGCGGTAAGAATTGAAGGAGAGGGGGGTGCGTGCATTATTGCCGATAAATAATTTCTACGCGCAATCACCCTGAGTGTTTCGTTGGATGGTGCTCAAAAGACGCTATAAATTGCTCGAAGTTTTTGGAGAAATGATTTCTATTTCGACGACAAGAAAAAAAATGGTGTATCACGATAACTTTGGCGACAAGACTTGCTTGAGCGTCGACGCCGGCCGAAGACTCACTTGCGGTTTTCTTCGACCACATAGTGTGCAGGTTGAAGAAACACCAGATATCATCGCGTTCTCACTTACCTAGGGCAAGCGTCACGTATTGAAACTGGAAGTATAATCACACGAAATTCTCTTTCGCGCGTGCGAGAGCGTACGGCGTGCAAATTATTAAGTACAGCGCAGTATCTCTTTATTACACTCGCTCACACTGTTTCCGTCAATATACATTAGTTTGTGTTTTGCATTTTGGAATGTGTTATTTGGCGAGTGAGTGTCGTACAGTTTGTTTCATAATAATTTTATTTTCAACCACCGATAAATTTCCACTGTGCAGGGTAGCCTACCGGTTATGCCACACTGGTTAACATCCCCGCCTTTCCTCTCTCGTTTTACTGTCTTTCTAAGCGTCCCACCAGCAAACACCTCTAGGACTTTCCTAGGCGGACCTTCTCTTTCTGACCATGATTATATTTGGAATCTGTCACGGAAGGCAACCATTAGGAAAAGAAGCCTCAAAAACAGATGATCAAATCTCAAGCAGGAACGACGGATGTGAACTGAGAAAGGAAGGAACAAGAAGAAAAAAGTGTGTTTTAATCGAAATGACAAAAACGCAATCAGTAAGAAAAGCCTTAACAACCTATCAGTGTCCCAAGCACGAATTTAAACGTGCGTAGGGAGAAATGCTTAATTAGTGTGAAATTAAATTAAAAACACATCTTCGTGAACATCAATATTTACATTCATGCTAATAAGACCTTCATGTGAGAGTGAATGAGCTGCGTGTGTGTTTTCGATAGCGAAACGCGCCGGAGAACTTCAATTTGATGTATTCTTTTGGGTGTATTCAATTTGATGTATTGTTGTACTCTAACCTCTGACGAAGTAGCCGCGCCATGTGCATGGTATATGCATCGACCACTCATGGGCATTATACAGAAAACTGAACTCCATCTTTTTATTTCACTTATGTCGTAGGACATACTGGCGCCAATAAAAAAAAGTACCAGCACGCAAATGTAAAATGCTCCCTCCTTCTCTGTACTTTTTTTTTTTTTTGCAGTCTTCAACCAAGGTGATGAGGGCAAGTCGTGGTACATCATACTGCGGGGCTCCGTCAACGTTGTAATCTACGGCAAGGTGCGTATAATCGAGACACGTTTAATATCGTAGGACTGAGTTTTCATTCCCAAACACAACTGGGAAGTTATTGGTTGGCTGTTATGCATGCGTCGTGGCACAACGTCTGACATGACGAACATACAAAACAAGACTCGCAGTCAAATTTATAGGCTCGACTTCGCAGTTTCGGGGTGAAATGTTGTATTTTTGGCATTTTAAGTTCTCTTGACTTGAACTGTCTCTGGTGCAAAAAAAAAAAAAAAAAAGAGTCACCACCGAGGTTCGCGTCTGAAACTGCACCACTTCGAGTACAATGTCTGCATCATGTTCGAGGTATTTGCGATTACCGTTCGGATTGAACAGTTGTGCTACTAGGATGGTGGTAAGAAACTTTATTTGCGAGATGGCCGAGCGCATACTTTACTTGAAACGTTGACACATGCGGTAAGATATATATATATACATATATGGTATGGAGAAGGGCAGGGAGGTTAACCACAAAGCAAGTATCTGGTTTGTGCTACCCTGCACTGGGGAAGGAGAAATAAGAGACAGAAAAGTAAGGAAAAGGAAATGAGAGAAAGAGTGCGAGTCGGAAGCAAAAAACACACAAAGAATCTAAAATGTCACAAACGTTTGACGAGGCGGGTCGATCGCAGAAACTTCAGGAGAGCCTTTGTCGGTTTTTGGCGTGAAGCTCGATCTTTCCGGTATTCCAAAATTAATTTTTCGGTATGCGGCTGATCATCGAGGCGTGCAAATACAGCTAACAGGGACTGTCTCTGACTGTTGTACTGAGGGCACTGACACAAAATGTTTGATGGTTTCGTCAGTACCGCAATTATCACACGCAGCACTGTCTGCCCATCCGATGCGGCAAGCAAAGCCGTTCGTAAAAGACGCCCCAAGCCACATGCGACAGAGAATTACGGTTGTCTCAGATCTGGATGACCCAGATGGAATGGAAAGTCGTAGGTATGGGTGAATACGGGTCTGTAGAAATGCGGGCGTGTTCCACAGATACCTGGTGACATCTTGCGTGAGCATATCAATCCTTGCTGCTGCGGCGCTTCTTGACAGTGGAATGGGATCTATCATGTCATTTTCGTGAGTGTTGTTTGCTGCAGCGTTGGCATGCCCATTATGGATGATTCCGCAGTGACCTGGTAACCATTGAAAAGTTACATCATGTTCTTTCTGTAGTACTTTCTGATACAATTGTCTTGTTTCCAGCACCAATTGGTTTTAAGGTCCACGACGTAGCGCAGTTCGGTGAAAATGCACCATTTTAGAGGTGCTTCGTGATCAATCCTGCGGAGTGCAGAGTGGAGTGCTGCGAGCTCTGCGGCTGTCGACGTTGTTTTGTGACACGTTCAAAATTAGATGGTTTCGACTTTTGCTGGGAAGATCACAAGTCCTGCAGATACCCTAACAATTGTCGAACCATCCGTATGAAGTTTAACGTGGTATTTGTATCCTTCGTGCAGCATATTGTAGCGAAACTTCGGGGTTGTTTAAGCTAGACACATCTGAAGACCATCTAGTTGAAGAAGCGTGAGAAAAATTCCGCACTGGCAAGCGATGACAAGTCGACACGATGATTTGGGGGAGCACTCATTGGGGGTTTATTTATCTAATACAACTTAAATTTACACAATGCACTTAGTCACAAATGCAAAACATGTAAACTGATGGCGTACCCCTCGGCCTGCATGATTGGTTTCCGGTGATGAGATGCGCTGTTGATCCCGAGTCCACTCACCCCAAAAAAGGGCCCGAGTCGCTGCTTAAATAGGGTTTTCCAGCATCCACGGGTGCGCGGATTGCGCGGAAGACCACTGTTTTGCACCAATCGGAAAACGGCTTATACGGACCAATCAGGCAAGCCGAGGATAACCAATTCCAACACGAGTTTTCATGGTCGAGTTTATCCTGCCTCGCAACGAAACTGTAGCAGCTTCTTGAAATGGGCACATTCTCTAAAATAGCCTTGACGCGCAAACAAGTGCTCAAATTTCGGTCCCCGATTGCCGCGGAGGACCCAAGCGGCGGCTCGCTCGTTTGGGGCGCGGGACGCACAGTGACCGACCGGGTGCAACTTTTCCTCTTCAGACTCTCATTCTTGCTCGAGGCTCCCTCCTCAATGAAAGTCGTTACATAGCGCCTCTAAATAGAGTATCTGGCAAAGAAAGAACTCCAGCTGTAGCTGAAAAAGAAAAAGAAAGCTTTCCGCGAGACATTGCCTTTGCGACACCTCCCCCATACGAAAAAGAGTGACCCACTTGTTTTACCTGCAAAATGCGAAAACAAATAGACTAAAAACACAAAAAGGTTTCGTATTGAGCTAGTGTGTGAGGTGCTTACTTAAAGATGCTTATACACGTGTCTAAAAGGTGAAAAGGTTAAAACAATTACATATTTAAAACCTCAAATGAAAACGAAAAAATCATTGGGAACATAAATCAATAGAGTTCACTCGTCGGCACTGTAACACAAGTCAGTGGCCGTGTCATAAGCGCCAACATTCTGTTGTGCGTTGTTACCACTTGAAAATGTCTTCCAGTCGGTGTAAAGTTCAGTGTCAGTGTCGGAGTGTTCGCACTGCTGTACCTGAACACTGGCCTCTGTCCCGCGCACACCATGTAGCAAACGGAGTTCTTGATCCACTCGCGAACCGCACTCGCGCACAACACTTGGATGCAATTCCTGTCCATCACTGTTCCCACTGCACCCGCGGACGTGAACACCTGGATGTTTTTCGCGAATATCACTCCTTGCACTGCACTAGCGCACATCAACACTTCGATCGCGCACCTATTCATCGTCGGCATCCGAAGAGGATCGAACGTGGTAGGGCTTTGGACGCTTAACATTAACAACGTGACGTATTTGCTTATCTTGGGGTAACATCTCCCAGATGTTTTCGCCTACGCGGCGCAGAAGACGCTAAGGTCTGCTGTCGCTGCCATAAAGCATTGTTATCTTTCTCCTTGCGCGTGGGGGAGTCTACACGTACAGCAGATCCCCCTCAGGATAGAGGTCACTGCGTCGCTTGGTTTCGTAAGCCTTGTTTTTTGCTTGATGGTTTCTTTTGCGTTTATCTTTTTGGGCTTTGTTGAGCTGGTGCGGCACTGCCTCGTTCTGGCATTGAGAGTGGCGGCTCACGTCAATCGGCTCACGTCAATGGGCAAAAGCGGTTTGCTGCCGTCTAAAGAGAAAAACGGAGGGACGCCGGGTTCGGGTTTTTTCATCTTGCACTCAGGGCTGGACGCTACGTAATTGTGTACATGCTCAAACATATCTGGCCAAAATTAGCGCCTCCTTACCTTCTCCCAAGTTCGCCGGAGTCAGAGGTGACCTGCCGTTATGTCTTCATCACAATGTCTTATAACCTCGGTTCTAAAGCTGTGAGGAACAACGAGTGCCGCGCGATCCCGAAACCCCTGCGTCCTTCGATGCAATACACCGTCGACCAGCCGAAAGCTCCGTGCCGTTCTTTTAATTTTTCTGACAACAGGAGCGTCTGTTCGAGGTGTTGCATGATGTCTCTCATCCACGAGTCCTCTCTCTGCCTTTTTCCGACATTTCCCAGATGCCAGAACCAGAACCGGCTAAGAGGGTTTCTTCGCTTGGGGGCGGGATCACGAAGAAGGCGGGAAAGCGTGACGGCATTAGCCCGCTCAAACTGACGCACAACTGGGGCTGCAATCAGCTGACGTTTAGACAATATGGCGATGGGGAGGCCCGGCTGGCCCCCTAAGCCCCGCCGTTCTCGTTTCCCGAAGGATTAGGCTGTCTATTCTGTTTCTCAACTGGCTCTTCATGGTTGTTTCTGCAGCCTTCAAACCGGTGCCAGCATTTTAGCGCTATGTGGCCAATGCGGGAGCAAATCTGGCATCTGGGATGCCCGTCGTTAGAGCGGGAAGTTACGCTGCCAAGGCATTTGAGGGCGGCGCATCTAGTCTTCAATGTTGTTTAGCTGGTCGGAAAGCGACGCGATGGAGTCAGCAATTGCCTTTAGGCCTCTTTCGCGGTCGGGAGCCTCCCGCGAGCAACGAAACTCAGCCGCGGTGCAGCTGGCGACACACGGAGGGGGCTGTATTGTTGCTGCGGCGGGTGCTTTCCCAACCGGAGGCGCGATGTTTTGCGTCCATGATTGCATGCCAGTAGAATAGTAGGTGCCAATCGGCTGGGGCCCAGACGCACGACTCATTAAAGATGCCTGATTTATGCGCTGCAAAATTCGCAGGAAAGCAGCGCAGGTTTCCGGGTTTGCAATTATAATTTTTTTCTTGAATGTCCTGGCGCAAACCGCGCAAAAAGTTGACCGTAGCACAAAGTTGTGCGACGTCATAATAATACTGCTCAGGGGTTTCGGAAGGCAGCTGGGTCTGGTTTTGTAGACGCAAATGGGCGATCTCAATCGATTGCCGACTTGTGAATGAAGTTTTCAAGAGCGTCGCCCACTCTTCCCATGAATTTGGGGCACCCGTTAAAATTTGCGTCGTGTGCCACTTTTTTGCATCCCCATCTAGTGCCAAATATAAAAATTTGACCTTTGTGGCTTGGTCCCAATTCTTCAATGACGCTACAAGCTCGTAGCAAAGTAGCCACTCAGAAATATATTCCTTCAGCGTGCCTCTGAACACTGGGGGTCTGACGAAAGGTTTCGCTTGGGGGGTAGACATCGCGGAGAGGAAGGTAGGAGGTTTCGTCATTGTAGAAAAGTCCGGAGTTGTTTCCTGAGGCGTGTTATTGACTCGGGACATAATTTCAAAGCGGTAATATCGCTACTGAGCAACCTCCACCACTTTGCAGGTAAGCTTCGGGGTTGTTTAAGCTAGACACATCTGAAGAACATCCAGACGAAGAAGTGTGAGAGCAATTCCGCACAGGCAAGTGATAACAAGTCGACACGATGATTTCGGGGTGCACTCATTGGGGGTTTATTTATCTAATAGAACTTAAATTTACACAATGCACTTAGTCACAAATGTAAAACATGTAAAATGATGGCA